ACCTGAAGTGCGGATTGAACCAGTTGACTGAAATGACCTCTGCAGTGGCGTACCTTGCCCCCATAGTAGGATCCACCAAAACCTTCGAAACCATCAGGCTTCTTAGCCTCCCTATCTTCCCTCTCATGTCCGCGGACACGCTCTAACCTCTTAGCAATCTTTACAACTTGATGAAATGCAGTCTCCGTCTCTCGTGCCATCCCAAATTTGAGGCGGTAGGTGAGTCCCTCAATGAACCTACAGACTATCTCTCTATCAGTGGAAACGAAGGGAGTTATATGGCAGGATAACTCTGTAAACCTCAAAGCATACTTGGACACAGTCATACCCCTAGCACAAATGCTCAAACTCACTGCGCAACACGTCCCTGCGGGTCTGTGGAATAAACTCCCTCAAGAAAAGATTGGAAAACTGGGACTAGGAAAGTGGTGCTGCGCCAGTTGGCCTACTTGCCTTCCCCACCTGTATGCCGGCCCCATCAACTGAAAATAAAGTCAACTCCGTTTGACTTGACCAAACCCGGAGTACGCAGAATACAGTGACACTGATCCAATAAACCCTGTGCTTCCTTAGAAGCCCCTCCACTGAACTGGAAAGGATGAAGTTTATGAAACTTCTCCAACCTCTTTTGCCCCTCAACAGACACGACTAGCCCTACCTCAGGCTGAATAGCAACTAGTGGCTGTACGGGCATAACACCCGGTGTCTAATAAGCATAAGCCGGCTGCTCCAGTGTACGAGCGGTGCAAATCTGAGCTCCTCCCCAAGCCTGTGATAGCTGGTGCGACCGGGATCAACCCTGCCTGGGCCAAACTCCCAAACATGCTCATGAAGTGTGCCAAGGTCTCCTGGAGCTTCTTTGTAGCAATAGGTCCCTCCGGTACACGCTCAACATGCTCGGGCTCCTTATCTCAACTAGAGCTACCGGAGGCTCCTTAGTTGCTGCTCTAGCTATGGCACGTGCCCTTCCTCGGCCACGACCCCTCGCGACTCTAATGATGGGTTTTGGTGCCTGCCCAGCTGATCCCGCGGAGCGTGTCCTCACTATTTGTGAGAAAATAGAAGAGTAAAGATTCAAATTTGGGAATAACAAATCGGCACGATAAAGAATGAAAGGTGATGTTTCCTTACAGTCTGGTAGCCTCTCGAAAATAAATACAAACGTCTCCGTATCGATGCGCAAGGTTCTACTAAACTCACTTATGACCAGTAGAACCTATGAACCTAGGGATCTGACCAACTTGTCACGATCCAAATTCCGCCATAGGGGTCGTGATGACACCTAATCTCTACGGCTAAGTAACCCACCACTTATACAACATTAAATCAACAAGACAGAGAGATATTAAGACAGAAGCTAATATAAAAGCGGAAATAGAATTAACACAAGCCAACATGGCAATACTCAGTATAATTTCCCAGAACTAAGTAGTACATGAGTCATGAGCTTTAACTGAATACATAAGGATGTCTCAACTACAATAACGTTCGGATATGAAAATAACAGTATCAATGTAAGGATGGGACTGCAACGGACTGCGACACTCATGCAGCTCTATCTTGAATCCTTGTGACCAGTGTAGCTCTCACTCTTTAATTCCGCTGCCTCCAACACCTAGATTTGCACAAAAATGTGCAGTAGTGTAGTATGAGTACACCACATCTAGTACCTAGTAAGTATCAAGACTAACCTCGGTGAAGTAGTGACAAGGTTCCAGTCATATGATACTCACTAGTCAAGGAAACCTGTGCAATATATCAATAATTCACAGTAAAATATGTAGCGGAAAACAATATCATCAATCTCGTTAGAACACGTGATACCAACTCAAGTACTCAATGTACGGGAATCCATATTTGACATCAAATCATCAAATAGAAGTGGAGACATTTAATAGCATGTCAAATTCAACTAGCAACTCATAAAAATACATGACAGAGTTTAAAGAAAATATGTATATGAGCAAAATATCATCCCCGCTTCGTCACAAGAACATCATCAAGAGAGTCACTACCAAATCATCACATAACATCATCAATAGCGTTACCCTTATTTTGCTGCATGTGCAATAACAATAAATGCCACCCTTATTTCCCCATATGCACACTTCATCACCTTTATTTCGCCACATGGGCAACCTGAGTAAAAGCCACCCTTATTTTGCCCCATGTGCATCACAATAATCACAATCGCACGACAAAGACCTTGTGCTAACTTCCAATCAATTCGCTCAACATGTCCATATGTGCCATAATTATCACAAATCAATATGCCAAATTTTCATCAAAGATATAAGCTCAGAATTTATCAATAAGGTGCACAAGAACATGCCAATAATAAAAATGCGGATGGGTGTTAATCATATAAAGCATGACTACGGCTAAGTCAATTGCAGCGATCATGTTCATGTAATCACAAAGCGATTAGGCATGTTTCATATAAAGCACATCAATAAATTAAGGCATATTAATGTCCTAAGGTCCTAATCCGGACATAAGCCACACATAACACCCAGGGATACGCTCGTCACCTCGCGTACACGTCGCTTCTCACATAGCACAGATAAGCAAAGAAGACCAAATTCTTGGGGGTTATTCCCTCGCACAAGGTTAGGCAAAATACTTACCTCAAACAAGCCAAATTAATACTCCAAAAAGGCATTTCCTTTAAAAATCACCTTCGTCTGGCTCAAATCTAGCTTAAAACAACTCAATAACAACAAATAATGCTAAAGAAACCAATTCCGTACAATAAAGTTCCAACCTTTACCTAATTCCCGAAAAGTCAACAAAAGTCAACCTCGGGCCCACACGCCCAAAACCCAAGTCAAAGGGTAGATCTCGTTCACCCATAACTCCACGAGTCCAAATGTGTGATTAGTTTTCTCAATCGAGTCCAAATCGACTCTCAAATCCTCAATTTTCAAAATATAATAAAAAATTCCCAAAAATTCCTTTCAAATTCCATGATTTTGGTGTAAAAATCTATGAGAAATCAAAATATATTATATCAAACAATAGAAAACCACTTACACAATAGCTTTGTGTGAAAATCTTCTTCAAAACTTGCCCCTCACCAAGTCTAGGGCTCAAAGTATGATAAAATGGGTCCAAGGCCGGAAATGACATAAGTTATAGCAAATGCTTATGTCGCATTTGCGACCAAGGGTTCGCAAATGCGACCCTCACAATTGCGAAGAAGGGCTCGCAAAAGCGAACTTGGCCCCTAAGCAGCTCATATCACAATTACGACCAGGAACCTCGCAATTGCGACCAACTATAGCAAATGCGAAGCACCCTTCGTAAATGCTGGTATCGCAATTGCAATACCAGCTTCGCTAATGCGAAGCTGGCCTCCGGAGCCACACATCGTAAATGCGATCAATTGTCCGCAAATGCAAGTAGACTTTCGCAAATGCGAGGTCTGTAGCATCAGCAATCTGAAGCTTTTCCAAAAATCACCCGAAAACAATCCGAACCTCACTTGAGCCCCTCGGGCCCCACACAATACGTTCACACAAACACATAAACCTCATATGAACTCACTTGCAAGTTCAGAACATCAAAATAACATACAAAACCACGAATCCAATGCCAAAATGTATCATGCAAGCTTTGAAACTCAAGAACTTCAATATACCGAGCGTCCGATTCCTACCAAATCAATTCGTAATGAGACCAATCTTTGCACACAAGTTCTACATGACAAAACAAACTTATTTCAAGTCCCAGAACAACAGTCCGAACCCGATAGCCACAAAGTCAACCAATGGTTATACTTACGAAATTTCTAAGCCTTCAAATTGCCAACTTTCGGCGAAAAGAGCCAAATCATTCTAGGAACCTCCGAATCCAATTTCGGGCATACGCCTAAGTCCAAAATCACCATACAAACGTATTGGAATCATCAAAACACAAATCCGAGTTCGTTGTCAAACTTTGATCAACTCTTATAACTAAATCTTCCAACCACGGAGCTAAGTATTCCAATTCACCCCAAAACCTTCACAAAACCAAACCAACCATCCCCGCAAGTCACAAAACAATAATTAAGCACATGACAAGCATCAAATGGCGAAACTGGGCTCAAATACACAAAACGACCGGCCGGGTCGTTGCAAGGAAGTTTCATAATCAGCCTATTTAAACCATGATCATGAGCAAGTAACATAATTATACTCTTGAAAGATAGAAGTTGTGTTGTTTCAATCTATTTGGCTGTGAATATCTTTTGAATTTTTCTATGAATTCATTTTGAACCAACAACAGAAGTTTTGAGGCTATCAATGCTATATGGGATACAGTTAAAGGCAAGGTCTCATAGTAAGAACATATATATTCGATGAAGTTAAACTTCTCATTCTCTACCTTTTGTATACTAATACTTGTATACGGGGAGCTTTTCGTACATTAATAAATTATAACTTTATCATAAAAGTTGGGAAGGGGTTTAAACATCCCTAAGGATTCTCGATCATGTCTTTTTTCATTTAGTTCTCGATGTTATAGTGCTACAGGTTTGTGTGTATGGAAAAAAAATCAATATCTGCTGTCGTGTGGCTTTTTGACGGTCTTGGCAACTCTGGAGAACTCTTCATTTGCTATCACCTTCACTTGAAATGTACTTGAAAGGGGAGCAAATATTTTGTATTAAAGCTGGATATTGGTTTTACATTGATTTTTATTGTTATTGACAGAAGTAGTGCCTGCCATATATGTCAAATATAAATAGGCTGCTTCCATGAGGTGCTTTTTATTTTTATGATTCTCCTATTATTCTTGTAATGCACAAGAGAGATCTTTGGGTATTAGCTTTTATATCACTGATATTTCTTCTAATGTAATCTTTTAAATAGTATTACTGTGTTCCACTTCATCCATGCGCCTAACTTTAAATTAGTGGGTTTCCCATCCTAATTCTGTTGGTCCATGTAGTCCTAGGAATGATGACACACTAGTTCTTGCCTGGAAACTCATTTTTTTCTTTGCTTCTATGACAGGTATTCGCTAACCAAAGCCTTCTGTATCGCTTTTGTGCTGACTTTCTTCAGTGCATTTGATGTACCTGTATTTTGGCCAATTTTGTTATTCTATTGGGTTGTACTATTCATTTCGACAATGAAGAGGCAGATAATGCACATGATCAAATATAGATATGTCCCCTTCACATTTGGCAAACAGGTATCTATGAAAGTTATTTGTAGTTTAATTTTTTTCTGTAACCTTTCTAGATGGCCAAGTCTGAATTTGTCAGTCCGTACGTTGTACCTTAGTATTTTGAAGACAACTGAGACTTGCTTCCTTTCTGCAGCGTTACAGTGGGAAGAAAGAAACAGTCATCGATGAAGCAGATGTTTCCAGACCTTGAGGGTTCATAGTAGATCAAGGCATTTTATGACAAGATCATGGATCTGTTTTGGGTAAACAGAACTATCCTTTCTCCATAAAAAGGTTTCTAGATTGGAACGAGCCACGCCACTGACATATAATCATCAATCAACTGTTAGATTTTAAAACTCTAGCTTTTCTCTTAGAAGCAATATGTACGTACTTATTTTTGTCTTGATGGGCAAGTAGCTCCTGAATGTTTATATTCATTTTTGAGCTGCTCCAACCTTGCGTGTACAACTGTTATTCAAGTTCTGGTAGATGCTGAGTCTGCAGTGTACTCGTTATAAATGTTTAGTGAAATATTGAGGAATCTTATTCTTCGCTTTCACTGCTTCCTGTCACACCCCAACCTAGGTGAGGTGGACAAGAGCACAGTACCTCATTTACATGGCGACTCATTCGGTACGGTCACTGATTTACTTATACTCGAGCTCCTGCACGTAGGAAAGTCACAAAACATATATCTATACGAATTTAAAAGTGAAAAGCTCTAAACTAGAAAGTTGAAAGGCTAAAATACCCTTTTGGTAATGTACTTTTTTATTGAATAATAAAAATAATTAAATAAAACACTAAATAATATTGGTAAAAGGTGTCATCCTTTTATAAGGGTATGAAAGGTGTGTTAGTTATTTTCTTCACTCCTTATAAATACTAGTTTCTTCTTCACGTGCAACGCACGTGTATGCCAAGCCATATAGTAATGATTTTGTAAAATAATATCACTATCATAAAAACAAAAATTTGAATAAATAATTATACATGAAAGAAAAGTAGAAATTTCTTTGACCGATGAACATTTTGTTTGTCCGTGTCAAGGTGATTGAATATTGTTTGAATCCACTAAAATAAATAATCAAAGCAATTAGATTTATATTCTCTTTTTACTTTGTTTAATTTTGTGAGGTACAAGCATGTAATGAGCCGTATCTCACCTAATATTTCCTTAAAATGATATTCCCTATGTATTTCTTTTATCCGTTTTGAATTGTTCGATCATGACTCACAACCAAGACACTTTTTATTGACATTGATATCTCCCATAAAGGTGCAACTCCTTCATGTTTCTATGTACGCAGGAGAGGACATAAGGACTGCTCGGAAATTTGTATTTTAAGTACAAATATAATCCTTCCACTAAGATACTTCATATCATTATACCAAAAAAACCTAAAAGGATATATATATATATATATATATATATATATATATATATATATATATATTCAAACCTGAAAGCATCAGTTCATCAAATAACTACTTCTAATTCAAATATGTTCAAGATCATCACATGAATCAAATCTATCCTAACATTATGAGAAGAAATTTCACAAAAATCATAAAAGTTAAAAATTAAATTCATAAATAATTAATAGTAAAGTTAAGAAAGTAAAACCTGATTTTGCTCGCTTTCTTCTTGATCCATTGTTGCGATGTGATCAATTTTGTCAATCCAAAATTAAAGTCATTTCTCATAAGCATTCTTAAAGCGGCACAATATTCCGTTACTATTGTACCCTTTGACATTCATACGAAAATATGTGTGTTTGTGCTTCGTGTATTGACCTATCATACGGTATTGACACCATTTCCTGCATTCTTGCTTTAAGTTGTAGAAGGCAAGGCACGATTTTGCAACATTTCAGAATTAGTTCTGAAAAAACTTCTTATCATACTTGCAGAAGGAGCACCTTCATAGCATACTTCAATTTCTTGACCTTCCACTTTCAATTTCCCTTTTAGAGGAATAAGTCTTTGTAGCAGATATATCTCTAACCTTCACATGTTAAATTTATGTTTGTGAAATCCCATTGATAAGCCACCACTTAGATAAAGAAGAAGTGGTTTTGAATTTATTAGATAAGCTCGGTAGAAGAGATCATGAGATTGTATATGGCTTCAAAAGTAACCTTCTCTCTTAGCTTTGGTGCTTTCTTTGTGTTATTCCTTGATATTTTCTTTCGTAATTTTGTTAAATATGATCTCATGTCCTTATTTGTATGATTCTATTTCAACCAGACATGGGGAATGTGCATAGAAGTCTCTTTATTTGCTTTCAATATAATTTTCTTATAAGTGATAATCGTTAGTGGACGTGCCGTATAATTTAACGAAAACAAGCAAAAAGGCACTTTAAGTCGCAAACTACATGAATCTTTTCTCATTCATGAACTGATCTTGTCTCAGATTTTTTATAAGCACGATATTTAATTGGAGAATGGCGATATTTGTAACGATCCGACCGGTCGTTTTGAGCTTTAGCACTCCGTTCAGCAGCTTGAGGCCGTGAGCAGCTTCATTTCAGGTATTATGACTTGTGCGCGTGGTCGGAATTGAATTTTGGGAAGTCCAGAGTTGAATTGGCAGGAGAATTCTCATTTCGGAAGCTTAAAGTTGAAAGAATGAACTAGGATTGGATTTTTGAGTAAACGACCTCGGAATCGGGATCTGAAGGTTCCAGCAGGTTTGTGTGATGATTTCGGACTTGGGTGTATGCCCGGTTCGGGTTTCGGATAACCCGGGAGCGTTTTGGCGCCTATTGTGGAAGTTAGCATTTTAGAAGAAATTTCATAAGTGTGGCTTGAAGTGCATTTCAGTGTTATCGATGTCCGTTTGGGATTCCGAGACTGTGAATAGCTCCGTATGGTGATTCTGGAGTTGGGGGCGCGATCGGAAGTGAATTCGGAGGTCCGTGGGTCGTTTTGGAACCATTTGGCTAAAGATAGAAATTTTAAGGTTTTTGAGAAGTTTGACCGGAGGTGGACTTTTTGATATCGGGGTCGGAATCCAATTCCGAAAGTTGGAGTAGGTCCGTAATATCGAATATGACTTGTACGCATAATTTGAGGTCAATCGGACGTAATTTGATAGGTTTAAACATTGGAAATAGAAGTTTGAATTTTTGAAGTTCATTAAGTTTGGATTGGAGGTCGATTCATGATTTTAGCGTTGTTTGATGTGATTTGAGGCCTCGAGCGAGTCCATAATGTGTTTTGGGATTGGTTGGTATGTTTGGTTGGGGTCCCGGGGGCCTCGGGTGGATTCCGGATGGTTAACGGATCGAATTTGGAATTTGAAAGAGGGCTGAACGATCTGGTTGCTGGTATTTTCGCTTCTGCGGTGGGCTAACCGCAGAAGCGGCCCCGCAGAAGCGGAAAGGGGCCGCAGCAGCGGATTTGGGATAAGAAGAGAAGGGACCGCAGGTGCGGTCGTCATATTTCCGCAGATGCGGGACCGCACCTGCGGTAGAGTGGTCGCAGATGGGAGTGAGGGGCAGCTGGAGCGGACCGCAGATGCGGTCAATGTTCCGCAGAAGCGCGACCGCATCTGCGGAGGTGCTGTCGCAGAAGCGAAAAGGGGGAGGCCCAGGGGAGACCGCAGATGCGGCAATGTGACCGCACCTGCGGAACCGCAGAAGCGGTCAAGGAACCGCAAGTGCGGAAATAGCTGGAGGCAAAGGGGTTATTTTAATGTCGGATTTTGGTCATTTCTCTTCCATTTTTCATGGATTGGGCGATTTTTGGGGAGCTTCAAGAGAGGGATTTTCATCATCAACGTCAAGGTAATATATTCCCATCCATTTTAAGTTAAATACATCAATTATGTAAGGATTTGAGCATGAAATTGGTTGAAATTTGGGGGTTTTGGTAGAAAGACCTAGAAATTATATTCTTGGAATTTAACCACGATTTTGAGTATGGAATTTAGTGAAGATTATATATTTGAGTTCCTAAGGTCATGGGTAATCTTTATCTTTGAAAAATTTCGGATTCCGGGCACGTGGGCCCGAGGGCATTTTTGTCAACTTTTCGATCGGAGTTAGGAATTTCTATAAATTAGATTGTAATGAATAATTGAGCATATATTAATGGATTTGCATAACCGTTGGCTAGTTTTGGAGCGTGGTGCATCAATTAGAGTCTTCGGAAGGGAGTGGAATGCCGGTTTGGACCTTCGGAGCGAGGTGAGTCTCCTTTCTAACCTTGTAAGAGGGAATTTTTCCCATAGGTGAAATAATTGATTATGTGCTCCTATTTGCGGGGGGGGAGGTACGCACGAGGTGACGAGGGTCCGTGCGTAGCTACTATTATGCCATTGTCCGGGTAGTTAGGGCCCAAAAGCATGTTATACTTGGATTATTTATGAACCTATTGATAGCTTGAATTGCTTAAATCACCTTGGATTAGTAAATGAATTTAAAAAGGAGATTTAACATCATTTTTCCTGAATTGTTAAAAAGAGAAATTGTTTTATTTGGATAAATATTCCCGATAAGTCCTTAATTGACTAATTGGGCATGTATCTCTATGTGTACCTGCGTCGCATGCATGATTCGCGAGCAGGGTATGTGTTTATTTATGGAACGGGCCGAACGCCTTGGCAGATTAAATAGATGCATCTATAGGCGCGCCGTCGACCCTCGGCAAGTGCACAGTTTATTTCTGTTGGATCGGGCCATCGCCTCGATGTGATTTGCGCATGTTATATTGTTTCTTGAGAATTTTAAATGTGAAATTTGCCCTTCGTGGCTTGATATAAATTGATAAGATAATAAAGAGTAAACCTTGAAAATCCTTGATTATTTGTTGAAGGTGTTTACCTGTTTTCTGGCTTCGTGAATTAGGACTGCTATATAAATCCATGATTTCCTCACATTTTTAGTATATTGTCAATTGACCTCTAGTAAGTGTCGAAGTTGACCATCTCGTCTCTACTTCTTCGAGATTAGACGGGATACTCATTGAGTACACGTTGTTTACGTACTCATACTACACTTCTGTGCATTTTTGTTGCACAGGTATATTTATCTCTAGCAGCCCACTGGGCGTAGCAGCGCGGATGATTCTGGGACTAGGTGAGCTGCATCATTCGAGACGGCCGCAGCTAGAGCAGTCCCTTCCAGTGATTATATTTACTTCCTGTCCACTGTATTCCGGACGGATGTTTTATTTTATTTCCTTATCTGTAGATGCTCATGCACTTGTGATACCGGGTTCTGGGGTGGTTTGAAGTATTTTGTATTCAACTGCTATTTATTTAAATTTGATTTGAGACAATAATCTTTTAAATTGCTAAATTTGAAGGAAAATCGTAGACTTTTCAAAAGCAATAGAACGAGAACTTGATTCAGTAATTTGGTTGGCTTGCCTGACAGCAGTGTCCGGCGCCATCACGACCCTTAGTGGATTTTGGGTCATGACAACATGGTATCAGAGCACTAGGTTCCTAGGGTCTCACGAGTCATGAGCAAGTCTAGTAGAGTCTCGCGGATCGGTACGGAGACGTCTGTACTTATCCTCGGGAGGGTGCAGGACTGTTAGGAGTACT